TGTCGTTTAATATGTAACATCCTCCTCTCATATTTGCTACAGCTATTATTAGGTACATACTCAATCAGTGTCTCGTATTGATTGCCAGAATAGATTTAAGGTGGCTCAAAACGATTTCCAGCAGTTAGGTTTTGATGGGTCATTAGAGCGGTTTTCATATGAATATCGAAAGTAATAGACCAATTTCGATATATTAAAATTCGGCCTAACACAATAGACCTCAGCACGAGGCTCTGGGGAATAAACCCCACAAACTCTGTAGTTATTCCCCAGAGCCTCGTACTGAAGTCTATTGTTTTAGCCTGAATTTTAATATATCGAAATTGGTCTATTAGACAATTACTTTGGTTTTGGTTCTGGTTTGAGGTTGGCTGAGTAGTCTAATTGGTAAGTAACGGGTTTGGTTTTGGTTTTACGACACTCAATTGAAAACCGCTCAGAGCCGCCTTAAATTTTCAAAATTGTAAGTTGGCTATGAACGCTAACGGGCCATGAAAACTTGGCCGTATTAACGGGGCAAGGCCAAATTTCATGAGTGGTCTAATTGAGTGGCGTCTTCACAGATATATCACAATGCATTTCTGAACTACTATAATTCTTTAATAAGCTCCGGATGCAGTTATAATTTTTGTAAAATATTGAATAACTACATGAAATATTAACAATGGAAAGATGAACATTTACTGGTTTGAGTGGCCGTATTAATGAGGAAAAACAGGTTGGGATTTGAGNCATCTTTATTAACTTATCACAAACCAGTACTTAGTCTCGCTCGGCCAAATTTCTTAACTGGGGCGATCATGGAAACTCGGTTCCAGGCCTCGCTGCTTGCCCTCCGTGGTCTGTACGGTTTAGGCATCCTCCTCTCATATTTGCTACAGCTATTATTAGGTACATACTCAATCAGTGCCTCGTATTGATTGCCAGAATAGATTTAAGGTGGGTCAAAACAATTTCCAGCAGTTAGGTTTTGATGGGTCATTATAACCACTCTTTATCAAGTTATGTTTTTCGTGACACAATAGGTTACCATTGCAACAGTATGACCTACTTAAAGAACACCCTTAATTACAGCTTTACGCGCTTACAATTCAAAACGGCATGGTGAAATGTTGTTTATATTATGTTTTGATAAGCAGGATAGGACGCAACTTTCCTGGTAAAGTGTCAAAAAAATTCTGTACATAGGGTCCAGAGCCACCTTAAATTTTCAAAACTTTAAGTTGGTTCTGAACGCTAACGGGCCATGAAAACTTGGCCGTATTAATGGGGCAAGGCCAAATTTCATGAGTGGTCTAATTGGGTGGCGTCTTCACAAATATATCACAATGTATTTCTGAACTACTATAATTCTTTAATAAGCTCCGGATGCAGTTAAAATTTTTTGTAAAATATTGAATAACTACATGAAATATTAATAATGGAAAGATGAACATTAACTGGTTGAGTGGCCGTATTAATGGGGAAAAATCATAAAGGATTATACAGGTTGGGATTTGAGAATGTGGCCGTTGGCCGTATTAGCGGGGTTTTCTTGTATGAAAATGTATGGCCGTCTCGTCGGGGCAAAATTTGGACGTGATAACGAGGTGAGCGTATTAACGAGCTGACCGTAAGGAGGAGTTCCTCTGTATCACCCAAATGTCCACTACATTTCCACTCAGATTTCCACTCTGATTTCCTCGGTTGTTCACTCTCTCCTCAGGCAATAATTCATTTATCGTTTTAATAAATACTACACAGCACGAAGTCGCA